TTTCTTGTTCTTTGTTCCAAATTAGTGGTGAGAGTTAATTTGCTTTTTGTAATCTTGAAATATTTTTATTCTTCACACTTTTCATAATGCAAAAAATGGTTGAAGTAACATATTTTGACAAGTGTTTAAGATTCTATTTATGTTATTGTGAGAAAGAATCCATAGTTACTAATTCGGAGTACCTCTAACCTTTATTGAAAATGTGTTATGACTCATATTGAAATTATCATATTGAATTTTTTAACCTTTTTTCTCTCAAAACTTAACTAAACTCTCACACCGCAATTAGTTTTGTTAGAAGATGTATTGTTGTGGTTGTCACTTGTCAAGAATAGAAAAAAATATGATCAGATGGATTGACAATATATATACTCCATCCGTCCATAAATAAACTTTACGTTACGCCTTACGATGTTTGACTGAAGTTATTTTCAAATTATTTTATATGAAAAATGGTGTAAAATTGAAAAATAAATATTACATAGTGACGAAAATAGGCTAACAAAGTGAATAAAATTTGACTCTATGAATAGTGAACGTAAAATTTATTTGTGGACGGAGAGTATATATATATATATAGCTTCCGATCAAAAGCAACCACTGACTGCATTATTATGTGGAGAATATTTCTCAATTTTATTTTTTTTCAGAGCAGAGACATGTCAACTCAATCCACTAAACAATTATTCATTCAAACGTTTTCCAAAAAAAAGATGATCCCAGAAAGATTAGTAAACAATTAAGTAAATTAGACTTTAATTGTACTCTCTCCATCTCAGAAAAAATGTCACGGTTACTGTTTTGGTCTATCGATAACTTTTGTTTGTTTACTCGTTTTGGTTAATCATTTGATAAAATAAAATACTCTTGTCGCATCTTGTTTTGTAGAACTTTTCATATACTTTTGAATGGTGTAATTTTTACTTTTTTTACTCTACCAATTTGAAAATATAATGATTTTAAAAGAGATGATATTTTGCACGTCGTTCGAATTGTTGCAAATAATTTGGGACGGAGGGAGTATATAGGTGATAAATAGTGGAGGCTGCACTTTGTACTTACAGAGACTCTATGTTTAGTATAGTTGTCTCTCTGCGCAAACTTTTTCATTTTAGTCTCATCTAGTTTGACATTTTGAATAAAATTAAATTAATATTAACAATTAAATAAACAAAAATTTTACTCCCTCCGTCCCTAAATAAACTTCCGTTTTTGATTTTTTTGAGGATTTAAGTGAGGGATATTTTAGTGTTGACTTTCCAAAAATACCCTTGATGTGATGTGTAAAAGTAAGATATGATATGTAGATTATTAGTAAAAAGATATGATGTGATAGGTATGGTATGAAAAAGTAAGGGGTAAAAGGGGTTTTGTAAGGGAAAAGTGAAGTTTATTTGGGGAAAAAGAAAAAACAAAAGAGGAAGTTTATTTAGGCACAGAGGAAGTATTACTTACCTCATTTATAATTTTTTCATTGCGTAAAACGATGTTTGAGTGAATTTTTTTTAATTTATTTTTAATTTTTTAAAATAATACTTATTAACAAAATCATCGTATCAAAGAATATAATAGAAATTAGATTTAATTAATAAATATCCGATTTAAGTTGAAAACCGACGTGATGCTTGACTCGTAGATGGGGTATGGTGGGGATGCATCGATCAACACTAAACAATCTACTCCGAAAATCTTTCACGTTTTAACTTTTTTTTATCAAATAGTGATATTCTTTAAATATCAATTATAGAAAAAATATATTTAATATAATGTAAATTTAATATAATTGAGTTTATTTTTTTATATTGATTTGATAAATAGATTTTTTATTACATATATTATTCAAATTATATTTGATTTATAGTCAAAGAGTATCATTTTTTTATTTAAAAAAATCCAAACAAAAGATGTTTGAGGTAGTAAGATATTTAAAACAATAAAGCAACAAACAAAAATAAATAAATTCACTCCCTCCCCAATTAAATTGGAAATAATTGAGCCAAAATTTAATCAAAATACTCCCTGTCCCAGGAACAAATTTGCATTTTCATCTTTGGATGTTTTAAAACTAAATCCACACACGAAAGAAAAAAATGACTCACATTATTTCTTTTCTAAGGGACTACTCTTTCCAATTGAAATTTTACGGTTAAAAATTAGAAAAAATTACAGGGGGGGGGGTTAAAACCCGAAAGAGGTTGGAAAAAATTATAAAGAATTAGAAAAAAATAGGAAAAAATTGAAAAAACTATAAGAAGTTAGAAAATGATAGAAGATAAGTTCTCAATCCGAAAATAACACACTAAGTGTACACATGTTTTTTTGAGCTCTTAGTGAAGAAATTTCAAATCATACACTTGGTAATTTCTTTTATGGTCCGTAATTAGGTTCATAAATATTTTGGTAATCTTAATACATAAAATGAATATACATTGGATCTTACAAAAGAAAATATCCACCTATAATAAACTTATAAAAAATACGAGACAGATTCATATTTTATATACGAATCTTAGGACAATAATACCATAAATTTTCACTTTTCTAAAAATAATTGTATTTTTTTTAAATTATGAGTACTCAAAATGAATACCTTTTCAAATTATATTTAATCATTTATGAAGTATTTATTTAAAAGAATTCCTAAATTTGTACATAGTACATTAGTACTCCATGTGGAGTAGGCTCTGAATGAGTATGATCGTAAGGTGCAAATTATATGGTCAGGTCAAATGTATCATATTTCATAACAAATTTCTAATTAAAAAATATTTCAAACTATGTTATTTTAAAATGAATATTATGTCAGTTTATAATGAACACTATGTTGAGCAGGCTTTAATTTGAATTAATGCTACGTTATTTCAGAATGAATATTGAATGCTAAATTGATTTGAAATAAACATTTACTAGATATAAATAGTTCTAGTTAAACCCGAAATTTTAATACAGGCTCTCATGGCATACGAAATTTTTTTTGTAATGGGAGAAAGAATCAAATTCCAAAAAGTAGACCAATACGAATTTAATTCTGATTCGGAAATACGTAAGCCATTCATTGGAGATGCAATCATGTCTTCTCTCCCTTCCCAAAACAAAATTAGTTGTATCTAATTTGATTACAAATTAAGAGTTACGATTATTAGATAAAATTTTTCGTTTTTTAATATTATTTTAATTAAAAATTGGTATATCAATAAGAAAAACAAATTACGCATAAACAAATTATGTCAAGAACTCTACAAAATAAGAGGTGACAAGAATATTTTATTTTATAAAAAAATAAATAAAAAAACACAAATAAACAAAAGTTATTGAGAAGAGAGAAAAAAAGATTGTAATCAATTTCGAAATAAAAGGAGCACATCTATTGCGAAATTTAAAAAGAGCATCGAAAAAAATGGATGCTTCAAATTTATTTAAAAGAATGGAAATATTATATACTGCATATTTTTTTCCTTTATTAGTTAAGTAAAGAAATAGAATACTTATTTACGAAATAAAAAAAGATGAAGATTAATTCTGAATAAAGTATATAATATAAACTCATTAATCATTTAATGAAGTAACACACTCACATCATATTTGGTTGAGTAATGCTAGAGTCATTGACAAAATATTCACAAAATGTATAAACTTATCATATGTGTATTTTTATTTTTTAATTATTTGATACCATTATTTAAATTCATTACTTTAAATTACTTGTTTACAATAAAGAAGAATTTTTTTTTACAAGAAGTACATCTATTTTTATAAAAATATATATAAAAATACCTTTTAAATTTAAAATACATCAAAAAGTACAAAATGTGAGAAAAACATTGACTCCTTTCACTTGCCTCGTCATCGTACATGATTTTATTTAGTACTCCCTTGAGTCCCTTCTTCTTAGAAATTTGTTGGCACTTACAATTATTATTATAGGTTTTTGATAAATTTTACTCCTTTCTACCATCGTCCAATAATAAAATTTTTATTTTAAACAACGTAGAATATCTCATTATTGTTAAAATTACTTTATTTAAAAATTGATACATCATAAAATAGTATAGATTACATTGTTTAGAACTATATCAAAATTCTACAAGATGAAATGAGATTATTTTATCTTATCAAATGATTGATGAAAATATGCAGACACACTTTATGTTATCAACAAATCGTAATAGTAACTAGGAACTTTATTGTTGGATAAAGGGAATAGTTGTTTACATATTATGTTGATAATTTGATACAATAAGATATTTTTATTACATCTTATTTAAGTTTTTATGTACTTTTAAAATATAATTTTTTTCTTTTATACCAAATTGCAAACAAATAATTTTAAAAGAAATAAATTTCTTCAAGTTACTTCAAGTGGGAGAATTATTTTAAGAGGGAGGAATATTCCGTATTAATCTTCTCATCACATTTTATCGAGTATTTTACTTATGAGTTGTTCTTTTGTGATTCTAAGATCCACATCTCAAATGTGAATCTTGATATACTTTTTCTTTGACAGAAAGGTGAATCATTTTTTCAAAAAAAATCAAATTCTTTTCTGATAATTCATCTGTCCCATAAAACTCTTCACCTATTGGCTTTAAGAAAATTTAAAGAAGAGATGATTTTGTATTAACTTTGCAAAAATTTACCTTGATGTGATGAGTAGATTAATAATAATAAAAAATATTAAAAAAATGTATAAAAAAGAATAAATGAGGACAAAAATGAGTTTTTTATAGAAAGAAAAAACTGTGAATGAGATACTAAAATAAAAAAAAGATGAGGAGTATAAATATAGACCATAGAGATACTCGAACTTGTCTTCATAGAGAAAAAGAGAAGCCTAGGTGGGTCCCCGAGAGAGAGTAGAGCTGAGTCAAGAAGTAGTCCACGCCACACGGGCCCCACGTGCATGACTTGTTGCTTTCGACTGTCGGCCCATTTAACCGTCCAAAGCTGAGGTGGTGGAGCCCACGCAATATCTAGCTTACCTTCTCGGTCCAGTCCAAAATTAAAGTCCAAGAACTTGATTGCAGTACTTCCATACAGCCCATTTGAGTAGTTGAGTGCAGTAAAAACACTCGGGAGTATTTTCTTTTTAATGTTTGTATTAAAAAAATGATGAACCCCAGGCTCGCTCAGACCCAGTGAAACGATCACTTAGAGAAGACAAATTAGACTTTGGTCGTAGATCAGTGGCAAAGAATGTATCCATCAACATGGTACTTGAAGAGGCTGTTGTAAGGAATCGAACTCGGGTCTTACCCCCTTGAGACTATTTACATTTGTTCACAATGCCTTCTGGCATTTTTTAAATAAAAGCTATGCATTAGGAGTATAGGAATAGTCATCACTCTAAGACCAAACTGGACAAGACCAAACTTGACCAAACTGAAATATATATAGATCAAGGACTGGACTTATATCTATCCAATCCTTGTTTTATTTGGTCTATTTTCTGGATCACGTTTGGATTTGGACAGGTTCAATCAATAAAACCTTTGTTTCAAAATCCAATATTTTTATGTCAAATCTCGGGTCAATTTTATCGGCTCTAAAAAAACTAAAATGTTGTGTGAAAAAAGCACACTGCTGTGTGAAACAATGACACATGAATTTATTACTAGTACACATTGAAAGCGTACTATGAATTTCTCTCAAAAAAAAGAAAACCGTTGCTGATCAATTCTTTCTTCTGTAACGTCCATCCATGCACCTTATTTATGAGACAGATAACCCATTGACTACATTAAAAACACTTCTTGGTACTATACTGTTTTGTGGTGTGTTTGGAAGTGAGAACGTACATAACATAAAATATTAAAATTAGATGTACTTCCAGTTTTAGCCAGACAATTTTAGGAAGCTTCAACTATGTAGACTTGGCATAAAATTTTTTCAATTTATTTGAGAATTACTTTCCCTGCCTTCCATATTTAAAGACTATTTTTTTTTAAAAAAAAATACAACAATCAAATGATCGTTTAGAAATATGAATTGTATTATTAAGGATAAATAACTAAATACTTTTATTTAACTTATATTTGTAAAATACTTATTAACTTAGGCTTATCTCTTAGCATTCTTATCCATATGTAGATAGTTGTAACTCACCTAGTTTAATGCCTAAGGGTTATAGCTAGTTCAAATCTCTTCCATGTACGTTTGTGTAAAAAGCCACTGGATGTACTAATATGAATTAATAAAGATTGACTGCATACCATTGTTCTCTATATGTATTGTCTGAATCAACTGAATAGACTGACAGATTGAGTTCAATGAGACATCCTCAAGAAGGTTTTTTTGTGAAAAACAAAACGACGTCTTCATTTTCAACTTTAAAACGACGCTGAGAAAACTCAAGCTGTTTCTGGACCAGCTAGTACAAGAAATGCTTTGACTAGTCAAAATGGCAAGCCATGTTTTTTATAAAATTCTTAGTTGAATTGACTGGGTACAATTTTACCAACCTTTGTTACAGCACACTAGGGGAGTAATCTTAAGTTACTCTGATGAACTGTTACAGCACATCACCTTTACATTCAAGGGGTTACTATAGTTTTACAGGGGGGAAAGAATAAATCACCTTTTTACATTCAAGAGTAACTCTACTTTTACTTGAGAAGAAGAAAAAAAAATCATACCTTAGAAGAATAACAGTCCACGAGGGGAGGGACAATTAACGTCTCTGCTTACATCACCAAACCAAAATGTCAAGAAGCAATTCACTCTGTGTTCTGAAATGAAGAGACATATAATACAACACATTAGTTGAAAGTAGAATCTAATAATTTTGAACCCGTTTGATCTGGCTCAAAATGGCTGAAGTTGCCGAATCTACTCAAGTAGTTGAGAGTATGGCTGAATTGGATGAAATGAAAAAAGCTGGATGAAGAGCTGAAAATAAATCCTACCAAACAGACTCTTGAAGTGACCATCTATCATACAAACACGAACCTGAAATAAAGTGATGCACAAAACTCTTGCAGTAATAATCGTCATCGTAGCTGGATCAAACTAGCAAATTGATGCTTCTTTCATAAAGTTTCTCTTCTGCTCTTGTGTAAATTCAAGTAATCAACTTTGGATTTGAGTCCCCTTGATTTGCAAAAGCTCTGGACATTGAACTCCGAGTGAAGAAATCCATGAATTTTTAATCTGTAGAAACGGGATTTCTCTAGTTCTCAGAGACATAAGAATGAAGAGTTAATCCGAGCTTTTCCTTTGCCCATTTGTTTAGTGCACTTTCTTTCCCTTCCAGAGCTTCAACCATGATATCCAGCTCACTCATGTCATAGCGATAAAAAAAGCACTTAGAACTCCATTCACAAGAACAGAGCAGCTTGACATGGCGAAGGCAAGTGTATTTATCAGGTGAACATGAACATCCAACCGCAGAAAGATGTAGATCATAATAACATGTTACGCATTCTCTTTTGGTGCTAGTGTCAAAGTCCTCCCCCATTACTTGTGTTTGAAGCGTAATGCATAGATACTTTTGTCTCATTCCTTCACTCTTAACACGGGCCTATCAAAGTAAAACAAATACATATACATCTTGTGATGTGATAAATCATGTTTGTGTACGTACACATAAACTAATAAATGATGTAAGGAAACAAGTGAACATACAAAACCAAGTCTGTTATATAGAGATGTTCTACAAATTATAGTAAACGAAGTAACAAACCAGAGTACTAGACATTTGTCAAACTACTGCTCAGATTCAGCGTGTATAATCAGGAATGCAAACAAGTGGCCCAGAATAGCTGTATTGTTGAAATTGTCAAACTAGGATCATTTGCATTTGTTGAGAATCACACACCAGTTGTCTAGAATGTTTGAGTTTACTTACTTTAGTATCTAAAAGTAAACATGAGAAACATCTAGCTTCTGGAACATCTTAGACCTAATTTAATACAGCCTCGTCTGATGGTGGTTTGTGGGACATCCACCGACTCTATGTTTTAAGAATTGAGTTTATGGTTAAAATTGGACACATTTGTCTTCCCCTATTGTTTTACAGCCCAGCCTTGACAAGGGATTTTAGTCTAGTATATAAATATAATTATGAGTTATGTCCCACCTCTTGAGTCTTGATGATACTTTAAGAGTGAGTTGGGCATTTGGGCCTAACTCGACAACATTCATTAACAAACTATAGGCACCAAGTGCTCAATTGCATATAGTACCAGTATTGTTTACCATTGGCTAAAGGGCTACTACATGATATAAGAATCTAGAGTTCTCTAAATATCTAAAACATTTCTTCTGGACAGGCTACACACATCTCATTACTAAGTAACTCAAACTACACATGATAAAACACAAACAGCGCACAGAAAACATGAAGGATCCACATATAAGGCTAGTTATTTTTATAATTCTTTCCATTTGACCAGGAAAGTGGACCTTCACTTTTCCAGTTAACACCAAACAGCCCTTGATTGACCTTCTAGTTCTGTAGCTTGGCAATTAAAACCTCTTGTACTATGTAACTATCAATCTATCATATTCAATGAGCATGAGCTCCTCAACCAGCATATCTCATTAGTGTCAAACCGATCACCCAATCCAACTGCTACACCTTCCGGGTTCGATTTCCCAGCCAAACCGACAAGGCAGCGACTATGTAGAAGTTAGATGGCAAATTAATTAAGAATAAAATTACAACAACAACAACAACAACAACCCAGTTGAATCCCACAACAGTAGGGTCTGGGGAGGGTGTGTGTACGCAGACCTTGCCCCTGCTCGGAAGTAGGGAGGCTGTTTCCAAGAGACCCCCGGCTCCACCTGCACAAAAATATGGAAGAGAACACAGTATAACACAGATAAGGCACCAAGTACAAGCAACAAGTACAAACAATAGCAAAAGATTCCCAACAAATACAACACAGTAATTAAGAATAAAATTAAAAGGTATGAAATCATAATAAGCTCTTAATGAGTTCCCAGTGAATTTGTCCCACTACCATTAGATCCTAAGGACCACTAGTGATGCCTGATTACAACACGTCAACACCTGGAGAACAGTTTCATTATTATTCCAACTATCCAACTTGGGTTGCACAATGCACATGCTTGATAGTAGTCTGATGCATAATCGTTCTGAAATTGAATGGAATTATTAAATAGATACATTATAACTTTAAAAGAACTAATACTCTAAACCAGTTTGTTAGACACACTCGGTTTATAGTTTAAAAACACGCTCTTGTTTTCAATTGAGTTGGGTAGGTGAACAAAATAAACATGAATATAGCAAATGTTACAAACGTCGAGCCTGTGCACAATAATCCAAGATAAGTTGAACATACACAGTACATTGAAATTTAGCTTGTTTAGACCTAAAAGACCATCACTGCAATAAATTTAGTGGATGGATTATGATATTCTGAGCTCTCTAAGTACATTGGGATGGATTAAGAGCGGGGTAGGAAAGTATGTGACATAAAACCTAGGATCTAATCGAGGAACTTTATGTGGTACAGCTAAAAGGGGGCCTAGTAACACTGGAGTCATATAAACTAGAAGTTTACCTTGATTGCTTTTGTCAGAGTTCCATCCTTCCCACAGACACTACTCCATTGCAAATTATCAGAACAATCTTTAACAAACAAACGTTTAGCCAAGGATTTAATTGCTTCTCCAGCTGCTCCAAACAACAGCTTATCATAAGAGATTGCTGTCTTTCTATGAAACTCACTATACCGTTCTACAGCTAATTGACCATGAGGCAACCAGTCAAATGGAGCAAAGTTTACAGCCTCAGAACAGTTAAAGCCAGAATCAAGTTGAGAGTAGTACGATCCAGGCAAAACAAGAACAAACTCCTTTGGATGTTGTAAACAGCGATAAACAGGTATACCTTCAGATATCAAAGTTGAGAGGGAAATTTGAGTGGCCTGCAATGAATATGAAGTTCAAATCTCCATTATATTTTTTAACCACAAATTCCAATTATATTCAAAATTCCACCACATTTTCAGGTATTTCCTCATTTTTAACTTATCACAACATTTAGATCTTAAATCTAATGGATCATATGCATTCTCATTTCTTTCATTGTGCATCATTCTTATTTGAACTATACACACACACACACACATATATCTGTGTGTGTGTTAAATTTTGCTTTTCAGATAGTACCCTCACTCACAAGCCACAGTTAACATTTACACTTAGCTTAGCTCATGACACTCTTAGAAGTTAGAACCACTTTTGAAAAATCAACACAGACATGTTCTCTGGTATTATAATGTATAGTAAGCAATATAAATGGCAACCTATGATCCAATATTTCCAAGCCTAATACATATTGTATTTCAATCTTTCATTGGTGAAGGAAACACATAAGGTGTGTATATAATCTATATATAGAACTCACAATATTTAGAAGCAACCAAGGATGTTTTGACGATTCTGGAATGTGCTTCTTCACAATCTCTTCAAACTTGAAGCAATACTGCTGAGGAATGACATACCATATTCTTGGAGCACCCAAATGCATGTAACATAACGAGTATAAATGATGCTTTTCAATTTTCTGTCACATTGAAAAGGAAACAGAGACGATCAAATATAGAATTCATGGTAGCATCACATTTTGGGAGTGAATGGACCAAGTATCCCACAAAGCTAAAACAGATGCACCAAAAAGAAACAAGTTAAAGAAAGGCTATCGCTAAATTCACACCACATTTGGCTATATCCACACTTTTTGATTGAAATAGATAAGTTTACCCTTTATATTTATAAAAGGGAAAGAAAAAAGTGAAAGGGTAAAGTTGAAATTTCTTATGAATGGAGTGAATTTAGCCAAATAGGGTGTGGATTTAGCATCACCCAGAAAATATAAGATGTTCTAGTTTCATATTAAGATTCCTTTGGCTTACCCAGAAAGTTGATGAAAAGCACATTCCTATACTGAGCTGAGGATGCAACATGGAAGAAGTGTCACAGGCATCATAACGAAGAAGAGAACCTTGAAGCATAGATGTATTATTCAAATTCCAGCCTGACTGTATATCAACAGGATTCTTGGGCATCTTCTGTCCATTGTGTTTAGCTGGAGACCCACTTCTAAAGATTTCAGCATCAACATTAGCTGCATGGAGCACCTATTGTACCATATGACTGTGAAGGAGTAAGTTCAATGATGGTAAAGTATGAGTATTAGAAGACCACTCAACTATAAAATGTAAACATCGCACCTCAACTTTTTCATTAGGTTTCTCGATTATTCGCCAATATTCAACTTCTATGTTTCGAATAGAAGGTCTGAATGTCTTGTTTAATGGAGGTGAACTAACATTTGGGTCAATATCAACATTCCTTTCACTGAAGTACTGTTTTTTGAAGTTATCTGCATAATCCTTAAAGCCTTGGAGAGTGAACTCTGGTCCAGATTCAGATTGAAATATTTCTGATTGGCAATCCACTACATAGTGTCCTTTCCATGATCCCGAAACCAAATTTTTTACAGAACTTCGTTTCCTTTTATGCCTCATCTTCAAATGAGCTCTATGAAGACTTTTCTTTAAAAACATGTCACCAAGCTCATCAATACGCTGGATATGAGTGAAAAACTTAGAAGTGTCCCATGTTTTCTTTTTTTCAATTAAATTTGGGGGTTCCCATGATTTAGGAGGAACAATACGGCATACTCCATAGTTCTCTACAACTGAACGAATGCTTTCAACATAATTAAGTGTATCCTTGAACTCCTGGCATTAGATCCAAACTTATCCGAATGATATACAACAATTCCAAATCTTGGAAGATATTATGATGACCAAAGGAGACAAGCAATGAACACAAAGGGAATACCTCTTCGGTAGGACAGAACACCGGAGCTTCTTCAAGAAAAGGCACGCCTGACTCTTCAGGCTGCCACCTCGCAACAACCTTTATTGTTTACCAAAAGCATAAAAGAAATTCACAGCAGATGGAGTTAGTTGTCATCCTGTTGAAAATATAAAAGTAAAAGCAATTCACACCTTTGGAACAAATAAGGAAAAAAGTACTACAGACTACGTATTTGCTAGATAAAATACTAAAATCATAAGAACCTTCAGGCAATTGGCACAACTTGGGCATCCCCGAATCACTCCATCAGGAAGATAGCCTCTCGAATACAAGCACTGCAGTAGAAATTTATAAACATCAGACAAATAAAAACCACGAGCGAAGTAAAATCCCCCCTCCCCACCCACTTTCGGCGATTTGGAATTGATTAAAAAAATCGCCGTAAATGACCTCAAAATCGTTTTCGGAATCATATTTGGGCTCTTCTCCAACGCGATCATCGACTATCCAGGATCTATTCTTCGTAGCAGACCGTTTATACAGGTCCGCATTAAAGACGCTCCGAACCGAACCAATCTGAGATGAAGTCTTCTCAGCTTCTTCTTCTTCTTCTTCTTCCCCGCGGAGCTGAGAATCATTCGCATTTTTAACCTTTTTAAGTGAGAAAGATGTCAGGGAGGCGAAACCTGGGGGAATTCGAATGTCTTCTTCCTCCATTATTATCACAGTAGAGAGAGCACAAGAAAGAAGGAGAGGAGAATTGAAGAAGACGCGTTATGACTTGTGACACACATGTGGACTGCATTTAAATATGTCCGGTATAAGTTTAATTTTAAAATGGGTTAAATATTTTTTTTTTTTTGAGTTTTTTTGGTCTTTCTACAAATTTTTTAATTAAATCTGCTCAGTAAAATCATTGTATTTGAAAATAGTCATTCCCTAATTTAAATATATATTTTGGTTCTTGTAAAATTTATAAATTTTAATTTTTAGTATCTCTAAACTTCTTTAGGTTTCTTCCTCTTTTTTACAGAATAAATTGTGAAGTATTAAATACTTTATACTCCGTACAATATTAACATATTCCTTTTAGTCATGATAAACCTAATTACATCGTCAAAGTCATTAAAATATTTTATAAAGATTAATTGAGTGATAAAGTTAAAAGTCAACTAAATTTGGGAGTACAACTAAAGGCGGTAGCGGGCTACTATGAGTCGGGCTGGGATGAAATTACGAAGATGGAATAATTAATTTTGCGAATAGAGTACATAAGTTTCGCAATTGGAGTCAATGTCATAGAAACTTCGTCCCTAATTTTAAATATTGCATGTTATATATAACCATCCCACCAATTGACTAAATCTAATTCATTTATAATAGGAGTAACTTGTTAGTTTGAAAATAGAAAAAAAGAAGAAATTTTGATGCAAGCCAACTTTTAAGAGTGTAAGTTATCCATAAAATCAATCACACGACTGGATTTAGTAAAAAATGTGGATTTAGTCACACCCTTTAATTTTCTTATTATTTTGACTGTAAAATATGTATTTTTTTGTTTGGATGAAGAAACGGAAGAGAGCAATAAGATCTCAAGAATGAAAATAAAGCAAAATAGTACAGAGTATACTATTTGGATCAATAACACTGAGCAAAAAAAGAAAAATAATTTCCTTTCTTTGTTGGTTAGAGAGAAAAATGGAACAAAAAATTGTAATTAAGTAAAATATGAGTAATGTTTTTTGTTTTTATTTTTTAATTAAAGTACAAAGGAATGGTAGAACTTAGAAGTACGTTGGCGCAAAAACAAAGAAGTCACTTCAAGCTTCTTAAATAGTTGAGATTAAAAGATTGGATAAATATTTTAATTTTTATTTGAGAGCCACCAAAACAATTTCAAAGGAATAAAAGGACAAAAGATGACAAAATTGTCATTTATGCCTCAAAAAAGCATACTTAAGAATTATGATTAAACGGGTATAATTTTCTCTCCATATGAGTGGCGAAAACTTTTAGTGTGAGCCCACGGTTAAATTTTTTTAATTCACGCTATTTTCTATTAAAGAAAATAACTTCTGTACTGGCTTGAATGATATAGGAAATCCATTCTATATGAATCATAAAAATGTTCGAATCTTGACGAAAAAAGTCAATAACAAAAACAAAACCAAATAAGAGAAATTATTTAAAAATGTAGTATGTATGTAAGTATGTTCAAGTGTTTGACTCTTTTTTTTTTATCTTAATCAAAACAACGGCTGAAAATATTTTAGAACTATTTCCCAACTTTTATTTACCGAGCATTTGTTATGAAGAAAATAAAAACTTGACAGTCCCAAATAGTTCAGATCATTTTTTTACTAAGGGTCCGTTTGGAAAAGAGAAAAATAACTTCCGGAAAATGGAGTCAAAGGAGAATCAAATCCAAGTCAACTAGAAAATGAGGTCGATTTGACTATGAAATCTTTATACGTTCAAAAAGAGAAAATGAGTTCTGTTTTTTTTTCAACCAAAGAAATACTCCAATCTTACATAAACTTATAATAACCAAAGCAAACCAAAGTGTACATCGACACCCAAGACGAGAAGTCCAGAACACAATCAGTACTTTGGAGCTGGCTTCTGTGTTGGCAACAAACCGAAACGCTTCTTTAGGAGCACTCTCTGTCTCGAGTATTTGTCATCGGGAGAAAAACGAGCTGCACGCATTGGTTAACACACTTGATTATGCATATAATTATACATAGATATACAGGGCTAAGATAATCATATATTCAGGCATGTGGTTGGAGACGGGAAACGTGAAGAATATCAGTAGAGCAACAAAAATTGGTTTTTTTAAAGAAGATATTACCTGGGTGAGCAGATTGTGTGGCCAGCCCAAGGGGTGATTCTTTCTGAAAGAACAAGAGAAACAACAGTCTTTAACATACGATACATTAACGCTGATATGTTCAGCTATTCGAGAAGCTAGTGGGATAACGGAAGACATGACAGTTTCATTGTCACCAGTATTTAGCAACATGGAGAATTACGAGACATTTTTTTTTTGCTAAAATCTACATTTCATGTTTGGATTTTTTCTCTTTTCACACTGAGGTCACGTTTTGTAAGGGTCTTCTCTGAAACATGTTGTAGTATATGTGTGGTTTGCAAACATCTTCCATCACACCTTACTCTTGAGTGGGATATACTGGGTTAGTTTGGTTCATAGTTTACTTACTGTCAAACGGTCGAGATCATATGGAAGTAAGCAGGTGGGTACCCACGAATATTACACCAAATGTAAACTAATTCTCTAAAATTATTAAACACACTAAGCATGCAATTAACTGGCTTATTTTTCTTAATGTACCGCATGTACCCTAGCCCTGTGAAAAATCAAGTTCCTATATAAAGCAAAAGAAATGGGTAACACAAGTTTAGTGTATACAGAGTAATTTAGAATACACTACGGTTCTTTTGACCCGAGCTAAACTGACCTTAGAATGACCCGAGGCCTCCCGTTGGTAAACTAGATGGTTACTACCTCCCACCTCCATGCACCCCACCTCTACCCTCCTAGATCGCCAAGCCAAATTGCCAATCTAGAGGAACAGGGGGTGCTAGGGGTAGGAACTATCAATTTTAGCAACAGAGCACCCCCAAAAGGCCAAAGTCATTTAAGGTCAAATAAGGCTCGGGCCAATAAGATCCTTGCCGTTTAGAATAATGAAAATTATTTGCAAGAAACTCATGATCGGATGGGAATTCGAAGTGGGAAACACTCCGGCCATATAATATTGTTGTCTGCATTCATTTACATAAAAAAGTATTTCTTTTATGGTTTTTATGTTTCTATACATATTGGGCAGGTCCGAGTAAACCCATAACTCCATCACACTCCGTTATGATCAACTAAAGAACTCAAGGTTTTGCTGCAAGTTTCAGCCTGTAAAAATCCAGATCAAGAAAAAAAACAGAATCTGAATTAAGGATAATACCTTGGTGGTGTAAACTTTGTCTCCCTTTTCGTTTATGTAAAAGTGGAGATACATTTTGCTTATGCGCAGCTGCAATGGCAATAAATGCAGGAAAAAAACAAAATAAAAATATCAGATAAATGCAGGGAAAAAACAAAACAAAAAAAGATCTTTTTTCCCCAATTCATGCGGAGAAAGACGAAACCCACTTGATAATTATGATATAATTGGGTTTTTTTTTAATTTTCCGCATGAACTTTGCAGATTTGATCAATCTTGATAAAACCCTAGGACGTTACCTCGGATTCTCGGCTGCTCTCTCCAAATCGTCCGAACAAAAATTGCAGAAACGAGTCGGGTAATTAGGGTTTATGGTGTTTAGAGCAATGATGGTGTGACGCGGGAGGCAAACTGAGTTGGGCCTATGTGGAACATTATTTTTAAAGGAACGTGAATTGGAAAGATGGGCCTTTTAGCCCAGTCATCTAGTAGGCCTCACATTCCCCAGTAGTGGCATGTTTGGGTGGGGGTGAACGCTAGCAAGCTCAAAATAATATATTTTGGCCCATTTACGATTTAACTCTCTAACATACTTCCTCAAATTGTATGAAAATCACAAATTCTCAACTTGGACAATAGAAAATAAAAAAATATTTGGTTAGTGTTTACAAGGTCTCAATACTTATTTGAAAGTGCTTGTCAAATTCCTGAATTATTTCAAGAGTTTGTTTGGTATACGAAATTGGAATTGAATTTAAATTGAAATTTCATGGGATTCAATTCCATGCAATTGAATTCTGTCAATTTCAATTCATTTTTTGCACTATCAATTCCAAATTCACATAATTTTGTACTACTAAACACCAGAATTGGAATTGAAGTCATCAATTCCAATTCCATAGTTTAAATTCCATATATCAAACGGGGCCTGAGTGCTTACAAGGTCTCTATAATTTTTTAAATGCTTCACAAGTCTTTAAATTATTTTTATTGGTTTTCTGGTTCTTCTTTTAAATTAGTGCGTCAGTAGGCCCTTCGACTTTTTATATGCTTTGTTTCAATTGTATGTGGTGAGTTTTTCTACTATTGTTCAATTGATTTTAGTCTCATTATCGATTTTCGGTTTTCCAGATTTAGCTCTACTTATCGTATCTCCCCATCAAGTAAATATTTTATAAATATTTTTTTTGAAATCATTTCGAGAATTTATCTTTAAGTGATAAAAATACAAATTCATCCAAATTACCATCTTAGTCACTGAATATTTTTCCAATTTTATTTTTTTCAGTAGATTACTTTCAAAATTTGACCTATAATAAACAAAATATATATTGTATATTAATTATATAAAGTAATATTTTGAAAATATTCATATAATAGATCTAATAAATTTATTTTTGTATCAATACTAATTTTAGTTTTTTTTAATTTGAAATCAAAGTCTATTAATTTTGACCAAAAAAACTTTAAAGTAAACAAATAGAGAGAGACAGAGGGAATATTTGACAAACAGACCAAAATTGATTGGTTTATTTTCGTACTTACTTAAACTAAACTTTTTTATGACAAAAAATACGGTGTACATATTAGGATTTAGGAGTTTAAATTCGGCAGCACTAGAAAAAAATACGCAATTAAATTTGGCATGTGAGAAAATATGTAAAAGTCATACAGAAAAATAGTGTCCAACCAAAAGCATTTAGACTTTCATAATATATATGCAAATTGTCTAGTAGTTGCATGTCTTTTATTACTTTGCTGACTTTCATTCCATTTTCGAGTGATTTTCCGCGTTATTTTCTTGTCATAATAATCACCATATACTCCAAAACACTTCGTACTCTTTAAAAGGTCATAATTCTAAGAAGAAAAAAAACTAATTTTCACGTGTTAGGCTCGAGCAAAAATAAACTTCGTTTGTAAAATTTTGAGTTTTTGGGTGAGTTTATTCTTTCATAGAAATATATGAAAAAATGAAAATTTATTTGACCATGTGAATATTATTCTATTTTTTTTGAAAATGTTTTTGGGTCTGTTTGAGAATAACGTTAGAGATTAGCGACTGCATTTTGGATAAAATTTTAACGGTATAGATTACTTTGAAGACGCTAACGCTGCCCGTAAATAGCTTTTTCAAATCGATAACGCTATTCTTTGACGTTATTCCCAGAGAGGTCATTTGTTTTTTTTTTGTTTTTTTAATACCCGACAAAGGGTTGAATAATAGACACCCATTACATTATCCGCATTGAGATATGGTTGCTGCCTGCTGGTATTCT